GAAAGAAAAAGAAAAGAAAATATGCTTTGATCTTCACTCAGAATCCACTGCTTTTCTGTCTGGATAGTACGTCATATGTGGTCCTTGTCCTCTTTCTTTGATCTTTTTGAGATTTCAGAATTAGTAGCATTATTGCTAGGTCAAAGGGTATGAAGAGTTTAATAGCTTTTTGGATATAGACCCAAAATGCCTTCAAAAATGGTTGGATCAGTTTAGAGCTTTAACGGGTCATTATAGTACCTGTTTCCCCACAGCCCCTATGGCATTTTTCTTTCTTTTTTGTTTAATTTTTAAAGTATATAATATTTTATTTTCTCCCAACTACATATTAAAACAAAATTTTAACATATTTCTAAAAAAGTTTTGAGTTCCAAATTCTATCCCTCCCTTTCTCCCTCCCTCCCTGATAATGATAAGCAATCGGATATAGATTATACATGTGCAATAATGCAAAAAAATTCCATATTGGTCATCTCTAGTATTTTTCACTTTCATTTTTTGTCAACAGCCTATCTGATGGATGTAAGATGGTTCTCAGGGTCATTTTAATTCTCATTTCTCTAATTATTAGAAAAAAATTAGAATTTTAATATTTATAGAATTTGTATTATATTATTATATTATATATGGCTCTTAATAGCTTTGATTTCTTTCTTCAAAAATTGCCTATTCATATCCTTTGAGCATTTATTAATGGAGTATGGCTCTTATTCTTATAAATTTGATTCAATTTCCTATATACCTTAGAAATGAGACTTTTATCAGAAACTTGCTGCAATTTTTTTCTGTTTTTTTTTCTGTTTACTTCTAGTTTTAGCTGTATTAGTTTTGTTTGTTCAAAACTTTTTTAACTTTCCTTAATCAAAACTGTACATTTTACCTCCTATGAACCACTCCATCTCTTTTTTGGTCATGAATGCTTCCTCTATCCACAGAACTGACAGGTAATTTCTTCTTAGCTTACTTATGATATCATCCTTTATGTCTAAATCATTTTGAGCTTATCTTGGTATACAGTGTAAGATGTTGGTCTATATCTAATTTCTGCCAGACTACTTTCCAATTTTCCCCAACAATTTTTGTCAAATAGTGAGTGCTAGCCTCAATGGAAATGACATGGTCAGCTCTTTGGCCTTAACTTTCCAAGTCATTTGAAAATTGGGTCATAGGATTTCTGAATTCCCGGGGGGGGGGGAACACCAATCATCAGCAGCATGTGCCATACTGTTGGAATTCTAAGTCTGGCCATCAGACAACTCACAGAGTGGTCTCTTGGTGGTTTTTTCTTCTTCAAAGGTAGACTTTATTCATTAACAGATTAACATCTTGCAGTTCTGTAAATCAAAATAATGGTGCACAGAAGGTTGAAGGAACCAGATGGTCAGTAGCTTAGTTATATGCTGACACAGAGAAACTGCCAAAGCTGTGAAGTAGGCACCCAAAGGGCTGCCCCACAGCTGCTAGCTATTGCAACATGTAAGAGCAATGAGGTGGTAGCCTTCAAAGATGGAGGAGAGACCAACAGGGCCACTCTTGGAACAATTGCTAGTCAGTGAAGTGCCTTATTACTAAAGTCTATCAAATTTCAGTGTCAATAAAAGAAAGGAGGAAGGATCAATTCAAAGAATAAAGGGTTAGCTATAATGACTCAATTGAGTTGGTTTTTTTTTTTTTTTGTCATTGAACATTTTTTGTTTTGCTCTGGATTTAAATCATCCATACTTGGGTTTAGACAATGTCTTGGGCTGGCAATATAGAGAAGTAATATGGGGGATTTGGGATTATTGAAGCTTTAAAAGAAAGCTATTGGGAGAAAGAGACAGTACAATATAGTTGTTAGAGAGCCTGACCTCAAATCAGGAAGACCTGGGTTCGAGTTCAATCTGTGACAATATACTGGCTTTGTGATTTAGGAAAGGAGGTGCAGTGGATAGAGCACCTGCTGTGGAGTTGGGAAGACTCATCTTCCTTTTTTCAAATCTAGCCTCAGACACTTACTAGCTATGTGACCCCGGGCAAGTCACTTAATCTCAACTCAGTTTCCTCATTTGTAAAATGAGCTGGAGAAGGAAATGACAAACCACTCCAGTATCTTTGCCAAGAAAATGACAAATGAGGCAATGAAGAACTTGTGCATGACTGAAATGACTGACCAACGAGGAAGCTCCGGGTCATTCTCTATGAACTGTTGGTAGAAGGAGTTTTGTCACTGGTAGTCCCCTACAGTAATGAAATCACAGATTCAGATTAAGTTGAGAGCTCTATTTCCTATTTCAAATAAGAGTTGCCATGTTGTTTATGAATAGTAACAATTTTAATCAGTCAACAAACACTTATTGAGTGCTTATTATGGTCCTGGCACTGGGCTGGGGGAACAAAAACAAACAAGTCTCTCTTCTTAAGGAGCTTACATACTATTAATAATAATAATAATGAGTAGCTAACATTTATATAGTGCCTGCTACATGCCAGGCACCATGCTAAGGATTTTACAATGATCTCATTCGATCCTCACAACAACTCTGGGAGGTAGGTGCTATTATTATCCCCATTTTATGGATGAGGAAACTGAAGCAAACAAGGGTTAAATGCTGAATTTGACCTCAGTTCTTCCTGATACCAAGCCTGGTGCTCTATCTGCTATGAAACTTCACTGCCTCTATTGGGGATGGAGTGGGAACAACAATATACACACATAAAAGTAAATAAAATATTACAAAGTAAACACACAGTAATTGATGGGGATGGAATAAGCACATAGGGGTGGGGGGGAGGTGGTTGTGGTGGTCAGGTAGGAAGCAACGTTTTATCTGAGCTCTGAAGGCAGCTGGAGGAAAGAAGAGGTGAGTAGAGACTATAGTCTAGGCATGGGCAGCCTGTACAAAGAAATGGGGAGGGGGAGACAGGGAAGGGGAGAGAGGTAGAAGGAGGGAGGAAGGGAGGGAGAAAGGCAGGGAGAGGGGTGAGAGAGAGAGAGAGAGAGAGACAGAGAGACAGAGAGAGACAGAGAGAGAGAGAGAGAGAGAGAAGAGGAGGGGGGAGAGGGAAGAAGAAAAAGGAGGAGGAGAGAGGCAGGGGGGAGGGAGGGAGATGGTATATATGAATAACAGGAAGGACAGCTTGGTTGGCTGGTAGGGTCTCTGAGGGGGAAGTAGAGTGTGGTAAATCTGGAAAGAACTTTAACTGTCTAACAGAAGAATTTGCATTTTGTCTTAGAGGCAATAAGGAACAAGTGAAGTCCAGTAGCCTCCATTCTCTACATTTCCATGGAAGGTTGCTGAAGGAACAGCTGTGAAACAAACAGAAGTTCAATTAAAGGAAAAAAATAGTTCAACAAGAGCAGAACTATTCTTCCCTGGCCTGGTCATAAATGGGTAGTTCAAGCCACAAACCCTGGGGGAAATTGCTGGTGGCTGCCTTGACTTTTTCACTCTGGTTCTGCTCTTTATTTCATCTTTTCCATGTCCAGTCTTTGGCTGGATTCAGGACATTATGTAGAATAAATAAATCCCAATTGATTAAGTGTCAGTTCAGTTAATGCTGTTTATATTCAGTGGGTAAACACAAGCACATTTTCCCCTTTCTCGTTCATCTTCTAGGCACAAATGAATTTGAATGATGTCCAGTCCTGATGTAATTTTGATGGTGTAAAAATTGATTTAGGGCTGGTTAGTTTTTAGTTAGCTACATAAATCTGTTGTTGCTGAGATCCTGGTTGTATAAGTCATTAAAGCAGAATGATATTTACTGAGCTTTTAGCAGGATCATCATTAAGGTAATGTATACACCATGGGCTTAAAGGGTGCTCTTCTGTGAGTCAGGATATGTCAACATTTTTCCCCTTCCTTTTTAGTGTCATCTTTGGTGATAATGCTTATTTCAATATGATTTTCAAAATCTCTTAAGGAATTCCAAATCAAGTACTTTTGGAGGGGAGGAGGCAGTTTGGGAAAGGTTCCCCCCCTTTCTATACACACACACACACACATATATATATATATTATATATATATATCCATGTATCTATATGTATGTATAAATGGAAAAGAGAGTATCTTAGTTTAAGAAAAATCAGTGCCCTGGGTACCATAGTCAACTTTCTCTTCCAGGTTATGTCATTTCTTTCTCTTCCCTGGGACATTCTCTCAGGAAATACAAAAAGATTGTTTTTCCCTTCTTCCAGGCTCCAAAGGAGTGTGCCATTGCATTAGGTTGTATCCCCAATTTTCTGTCTCTAGGCATAATCATACCTTGCAACAACTGAATGCATAGTCATTGTGTTTTCACCCACCATCCTTTTTCTCTTGTCTCTTGGCTCTTTGGATAGGCAAAAAGGACAGAAATCTGAGCTTGTAGCTCAAGGGGTGCTTTTGAAAATTATACTTTGTCTTTCACAAATAGTAATATGGAAATATGGTTTGAAGTTTACTCCAGGAATGTTATGGCTCTCCCACACACCCTCTGTTTTATATATCAAATGGCCTCATAAAAACCTCTAGAGGAATAAAAGAGAGATAAAATGAAACGTGTTTCACTGCCCAAGTGACCTCATACGTAACATTCTTGCTCAGTAATGGGGCTGCTAAAATTTTCTTTTCCTTTTTTTTTGAGAGAAGATGCAAATTACCTTCAGGATTTTTTTTTCCTGCTGTGGCTGTCTTTTGGTCTCCAGTACTGGTTAGCTGGGGTAGGATGAGCATCCCAAAGCGTGGGAGTCAGCTTGCTCCCAGGTACTCCAGTGTTATTGACGCAGGTCATCTGCCCTCCTTCCCTGGGGACAATGAAGTTAGGATTTCTCTTTGGCCTCCCCGCCAGAAATCGAGCCCAGATAAACAGATTATCAGGTGGGATATCTCCTCCATGTGGTTTTATTGCAGCACAGCTAGCTCTTCCGAGCCAGTTAGACTTGTTATGGGAAGCTAAGTGATTGGCTGAGGCTGGAGCTCAGTTTCATAAATTATGGCCTGGCACCCAGGAGTATGATTCCCATAGTGGCAGGAACCTAGAGGGCCTGTTAGCTCCTGACTTTATGCACATGTATTCTTAGTTGGGTGCTACTCATTGACTTGGATATTTCTGTCTTAAATAGCTGACATTGCATCTTCAAGACTGTGTGAGTAATTCTGACTTTTTTTTTCAACTCAGTAAATTAATTACGTGTCCTGAGAGGGAGTGCCTGTAATTAGGAAATGGTGAACTAGCAGATGATTCATTATCCACTTCCCGCTCCCCTCCCTCCAGGTTGTATCAGCTACAGCGATAATGGTAGAGTGACCAAAATCTAATAGGGTTAATGCAGCTCTGCGCTATTTAAGTCACTGTCAACTGTATTTTGGATCTATTTCTTAAACACATTTGTGAATGCTCAAACCCTGTTCTCAGGGAGAAGGGTAGGGCTGAAGCTATAGTACTGTTGAGTTAAATCAGAGAACTGGTATGAAATCAAAGGTAGAGGAAAAGACCATTTGCATCAGTAAAGAATTTTTTTTCTCCTTTGAAATAGTGAGCCAGCAATATCCTTAAGGGAAACAGAGCTAGGCAGGGACGCTAAGCAGAATGCACTGAGAAATGCAAAATTATGGAGCAAAAATGGAATGCTTTATGAAATGTGACTATTTTTAAAGGTGATGGGAAGGAGAATACTGTGGACGCCTTTAAAAATCATTTACATTTTTAACAGCCCTAAAGTTGCCTAAGTTGAATGCTAACCCACCAGCTTTGTTTTAAAAACTCCATAAAAAGTATGTTAAACATATGCACACACAACCAGATGCAGAAAAAAGAATGTGGCTTGGGATTTGGAGCATAAGCAGAAAAAATGAGAGTAACAGAACTGTTGCTGGGTTTGTGGGATGGCCGGGTGTAACTTCTGTTGTTGTGCAGGTTGGTTTAAACCACCCTGAGAGCAGATTGAGATGAGAAATGAACACCAAATTGGTGTTTTCATCATCCTATCTATAGCATGTGCTCATTGCATATCTACATTCATTCCTGAGAGCACCCCACATAATGCAAATGGACCAGTTCCTACTTCTGATTTAGTATTTCTTTCTCATTATTCACAAAAAAAATTTTTTTTCAATTTTTTTTGGGCAAGGAGTTTGAACTTGTAAATGAATGATTTGTGTTCTTACGGAACTCTGTGTAACCTGAGAACACAGTTGAAGTGTCATGTTATTCCAACTTTTGGTTTTATTTGTCAATTTGCTTTTGCAAATTTTATTTTTCCGCTTCCTTTCTTCTGACCTATAAAGAGAAACAGATGCATTTCTTATGCATCTTTTCATGAACATAAATCAGCTGAATAGTTCTTGTATAGGGGTGGGTGCTGAATAGGAATGTTTCACAACTATGAGAACTAATGCCAAATTCCTATAAAGATAACTTTTTATGGACTTATAGATAGTTTAGGGGTTTTTGTTGTCATGCCCACTTACTACCATGGAAATGAACTTGAGGTTAATTAGCCATAGACAAATACTCATTTTGATTTTATGAAATGATGTTTATAACAACCTATGAAAGTAATTTTATATTTTAAGTATTTCCTAGCTGTACCTGTCTTTAAGTAAATGTAATACGGAGAAACTGGGTTTACCATGAAGGAAAAATGAAATTGGTGGCTATTTACTTTGCAAAAACTTTTTAAAATGGTTCTATGATTATGTTAGTAATTCCAGGATGAGATAACTCTCTTTACCAATGCAGAATCTGAGAAGTGCCAAAAAGTTAAGTGACTTGCCCTAAGTCATACAGAGACAAAGAGTCAGAGGCTAGATTTGAACCCAGCTCTTTCTGGTTATAAGGCTGGCCATCTGTCTGCTACACCACAACATCTCTCTTTAAATTATAAGCCTTTCTAATGTGTTTTGATTAATTATATTGAAAAAGATTTCCTTTCTGAACATTTTTAGAGCACATCAAATTCATTAAATGGGGTATACCTGCTTAAGAATGCAATAAGTTGCTTAGTTGGTTGATAGTTTCATTTGTAATCAATATAAATGTGGTATAATATATATTTGTGCCTAACCAATAGATGCATTATTGGAGGATAATGATGGATTTAGAAAGATCGATGGAAAATAATTGTTTACCTGTCTGAAAATTTAGATGGTGGGAAAAGGCAATGTGCTCTCAACTAATTTCTTTCTTTTGGGTTCTGCTTCTCCTGTTTCCTTGTGGGTTACCTAGCTATATCCTCCTGATAATCTCTCTGTCTCTGTCTCTCTGTCTCTCTGTCTCTCTGTCTCTTTGTGTCTCTGTAACTCTGTCTCTCTGTCTCTCCCTCTGTGTCTCTGTGTCTGTCTCTTTGTGTCTCTGTGTCTCTGTCTCTCTCTGTCTCTGTGTCTCTCTGTCTCTTTTTACTCAGGTTGGCAATGCTTTCTTAGCTTCTCCACATCTGCTTGCTTGGGCAAAAACACAAGAAAAAGAATCTTAGTCACTTATCAGCTGATAAACTGCCTGCCTATAGAGGTCTAGGAGGTGCTTACAACCTGAGCTGGCAAGCCTTGGAGAGAGGGCATTGCAAGGATTTCCAGGCTATTTTAGGGCTTTTCCCAAGACTTCGTTTTCTCCGTGTTCTTCATAAATCTGAGGAAGCTGAGGTAAAGGGATTTGTCCAGGGTCCTATAGATAGCAAATGTTAGGGCACTGAGAGAAAGACGAGGAGAACTCCTTTAGGAGGCAGGTGGGCGTGTGAATGGGAAGCGGAGGAGCTTTGGAGCAAAGGCAGCTCATTCTTTTTGTCTCCAAATTCCCATTTTTCGGTAGCCTGTTTCTGGTCGGCTTGGAGTACTTGTGCGTGTCACCGCTCCTTGTTCGCGGAGAAGCCACAGAGCGGCGGCCTTCGGGGTAACGGTAGCTGCTCCAGAGAGATCTGTTGCAGCACCGTGACCTTGTTGAGTTTTCAGCTACACTCCAACGTTCATTAGCCCAGCTCCAGGAAAGAGTTATTACTGCCTTTAAAAAGTAGCGGCACAACTTAAATTTTTGTTTTGTTTTCCTGATCGCTTGAGCTAATTGCTCTTTATCCGTTTAACCTCTTGTAGAGTATCCAAAATACTTGATTTTTACGAGGTTGCTGCTGATTCCCTTAGGCGGCACTGTACTTTAGGGCTATCAGCCCTCCATGGTTGAACGGCAAACACGTGAGTTTTTCCCAAGAGTCGCTCATCCAAATAAATACACATGGAAGAAATCAAGGTACAGTAGCAGTGTTGTAATGGCAATAGCCATTGGACCCATGGGCTTCTTTGTCTTTGCTTGGGAGGAAAGGGGGCGGGACTTTGTGAATTCGTTAGCTTAGGAAACTCTTAAACCACTGGGGATCGGCTTCAGTTCTGCAACTCCCAGTCTTAGAGAGCTTTGTAGGGGTTGGGACAGGTGTTGAGATGTAGTGACCTGCTCAGGGGTACGTGGGCAGTATGTATCAAAGGCTGAATTTAAACCCAGAACTTCTTGATTCTAAAACCAGCTCTCTATTCACTATGCAATGCTGCCTCAATCATTCATAATAAATAGTGATTCCCATTTCTGTAGTCTGTCAAGATTTCCAAAGTGCTTTTTAATTTTTTTTAAGGCAATTGGGGTTAAGTGACTTGCCCAGGGTCACACAGCTGGTAAATGTTAAGTGTTTGGTCAGAGGCTGGATTTGAACTCAGGTCCTCCCGACTTTAGGATTGGTGCTCTATCCACTGCGTCACCTAGCTGCCCCTTAAAGTGTTTTTCTCACAACTGCCCCTTGCGGTGGGTAGGGCAAATATTAACCCAACTTTATGGATGAGTAAACTGAAGCTGTGAGGTATAAAGTGACTTGGATATTGAGGTCTTGTCTATATACCGGTATCTTGTATATATGGCTTACCTATATAGTCAGAAAAGTCATAAGTAGTTGAGGCTGTACTAGTTGAACCCAGGTCTTCTAAGGCACATCCACATGGTAATCATGTATTCACCCAGAACAGTTTTATTGAGTTTTTGATGTGTTTGGACTATAATCACGTAATCAGCCATGTTAAGATATTCAAATTTGGATGGTATATTAGTTATCATTCAGATTTGTCCCTCATGGTTGTATCCCAAGGTGTATATTCACATTCTCTTATTCAACAAGCACTTATGAAGTGTCTACTGTGTCCACAGTATCATACTGGGGAAAGAGGTCAGATGAAAACCAGTCTTTGTTTGCAAAGAGTTCACCAGCTACTAGGAGAGGTGGGGATAAATAAACAAAATATAGTTGGAGGAAAGAGAAACGTTTAATAACTATGAGGTGGTGACTGAGATAAGTGGGGAAGGAAGCTAAAGAATGTAAGAGGCAATGGTGACAAGGGAGTCCATTCCAGGAAGAAAGGATGGACTGGCAAGAAACACAAAAGGGGGGTTGATGGAATGCAGAGTTCAGGGAATAATAAATAGGTTGAGAAGGAAGTGGGAGGTGAGGAATAGAATGAAAGACTGCAGCACCCCTGCCCCTTTTTGGGAGTTTGTGAAAAAGAGGGAAAGATGGGGGAAGATAGTTTGAGGGTATAGAAGGGTTAGGTGAAGGTATTTTTTTTTAAGGAGGGGGAGAAATTGGCATGTTTGTAGACAGCAAAGGAAAATATAGTAGATGAAGAGAGACTGAAGATGAAAGAGAGGATGATCAAAGGGGCAAGTTCTGGGAACAGAAATGAAGGAATAGAGTTAAAAACATATCACCTTATCTCAATTGATTTGAATACTAGGATTTTCTTTAGTTTTTGAAGTATTTGTAAAGTGGAGTGTGTAAATATACATATACATATACATATATATTAATTAAATATATGACCTGAAAGTTCAAATAGTGAGAAATTCTGTGATTCCTCATCACTGTCATCATGTTCTCATTGCCTATCTGCTAATGGAACATAGTACTTAGAAATTAATGGAGCATTCATAGGGCCAGCTAGGTGGCACAGTGGATAGAGTACCAGGCCTGGAGTTAGGAAGATCTGAATTCAAATCTGGCCTCAGACACTTTCTGGCTATGTGACCATAGGCAAGCCACTTAACCCTGTTTACATCAGTTTCCTCATCTGTCAAATGAGCTGGATTGGAAGGGAATGGCAAACTACTCCAGTATCTTTG